CCCCCCCCCCCCTTCCCTGATTCCCAGTGTTTCAGTTTAGCAACAATGTAAGTGATAAAATAGTATTTGTAGCAAGCATATTTTTCTCAAGAAATCAATGAACATTACCAATCTGATTGGAACTATAAGCATCTACTGATTAGGATGCAACCAAAAGTCATGAAGAATTAAGCAATAAACAAACTCAGTTTTTAAACTTATACACCACCTTAATGTATTGATGAAAGGAAATTTAATAGTAAAATATGACATTGATGAATCTTCAATTGATAAAGATTCATTGAACCAATTTAGGGAATTAAATACAAAAAATAATAAGAAATCTCACATACACAGTAGAAAATTAGCATACCAAACCTGACAACATACATCTTGGTCACAAAATACATTTCTAAAATCTAAGACAGACTGAGTTTTATTATTCAACATTGTGCAATCAGTAGGTATATTATCTACCTATAGATTATCTCACATATTTATAATACACAATATAAATAGAGCCAGTTAATTTGCAATAAACATGCCAACCTAGGTGAATCTCAAGTTCAGAAGGCAAAGTTTGCCAATGGGAGAACTGCCTTTAGGGAAATTGTCAAAAAGGTAATAGTTTTTTGATCATACCAAAATTAATCCAGTTTCTGACCAACTCTCTTTTTTCCTGTATACCAACTGCTTCATTGATTTTGTTCTGATGGCAATTTATACACAGTTGTTGGATAAAAGATTTGGAACAATAACCCATGCCCTTTGTTGAAATTATGGAGTTTTAAGTATAAAGGAAGGAAAAGGAGAGAATAGAGACTCAATATTATGAGATTGACATAGACTTGGTATGATGTGATGTATTATAATGTGATGATAAGATCTGGGATCATAAAACCTAGAGCACTGACCCTTATTTATACTAATCATAATCCTAACTAAAAACGAAACAAATCATGAAATAAGGAAATATAGTAACCAATCCTAAGAGATACGAAAAACTAATCCTAAAGAATAGTCTAAGATATTTCTATACATATAAATTAAAATATTTTTCTAGAACAAGACTGTCTTTAGAGACCATTCTCCAACGATTATGTTTTTAGCTATTTTTCTTTGATAAAAGTAATTTTAGGAATTTTTCTTAACCTCTTATCAATTTAATATGTCATTTTTGTTATTTCTAAATTAAATTTAATAATTTTTAAAAAAATATCAATAGTTAAAATAATCTTGTATCACAATATAAATTATTTATCATAAATCTTTTTATATGATAAAATATACTCATTTATTACAAATTTTAATTATATGATCAAAACAGTAAAGGATATTTTCATATATTCTAACAATTGTTTATCCACACAACCATTTAGTGCCCATTTGTTTAAGCCTTTTTTTTTTGTTGAAGAAAGTGTTCCTTTAATTAAAAGCAATGTACTAAAGTATTTATAATAAGGTAAAATTTTCAAAAAAAATAAGAAAAAAAGTTGTTTTAGTGCTTTAATTTAAGTTAAAATAAGTAGTTTCAGAAAAAGTAGAATCACTTTGTAAGCTTTAATAAATGGGCCCTTAACCATGAAACTCATAAATTTCAAGACAAAAAGGTAGATAGGAAGATGTCATATAAATGTGAATTAGACAAAGCTATGAGTTGGTGGTCTACATACTTTGTCAGTTTGCTGCAGAATTTCACCATCATTTGGGTGGAAGTATATTTTCCCACTCCGGTAAAGACCACATACAATGGCCTGAAATAATATCAAAGTAGAAAGCATTAATGAAAAGTGTATAAACGGAAATTTGAGTCAAGAAATTACATTTGAAGAAGTAATTACTTCTTGAAATCCATGTCTTATTTGCTTATATGTCATTCCTTCTAGATTAGGCAAGCTGCAAAGATTGAATACATTTTCTGCAAGTGGAACTAAAAATTAGAATTCATGAATAAATAAATACATGCAAGTCAACTAAAAAAATCATAAAAGGTTTAACCAGTTTTCAAATGTAAGGCAAAATATGTGTCTACTTTAGTGTAACACCAACTATGCTAGGAAATGGAAACCAATACCAAATTAAAGGTTAGAACAATAAAAAAGACTAAAATCAGAACACTAAAATATGTTCATTTACATTGATAACAACTAACTAGAAACTAGAAACCTGCAAAACGAACAATCTAGTAGTTGCTAGTCATTAACAAATAATCAAAAAGTATTTTGAATTTATCTGAAATCTATTCTGAATTATTTTGGTAGAAAAAAAAAACAAATATAAAATACCACTATAGAATATTTAAGAAATATGAAAATAAACAATCCTTACAAACATGACATATATGACATGTAGAGAATATAAAGGCAGTACTTCGATAATTTAGCAAGTGCCTGTAGATCTTTATAAGTCCCTTCTGCCGAGAGCATTGAACAAATAATTTGGATGCAACATTTTCTACTGGCTCCACTTTCAATAATGATATTGACTTCAACAACTCACATGTCTTGGAAGTTGAAACCTACATTCATTAATTAAGAAATTTGCAAATGAAGTTTATTCTCTACATTTTTTATTTGTATCTTTAGTTTCACAAAACACGGCTCATAAGCAACAAACCTCAACTATGGTGGGGACAGAATCCATATTTGGAATTGGTTGAAGGGCTAAAACAGAAAGAAATGCATCTGTGTCAACTTCATACCTAACAAACAAACAATCTGAATCAATTAACTTCATTAAAGTGAAATTCAGGACATGACAAAAATCAAATTAACTAAAAAAGTAGTTACTCTGCTAAAACAACTGAAGCTATCTATGTTAACTAAACATTATGAGGCTTGTAATTAGTCTACATGGGATAGATACAAAAGTTAGAGAAAAAACTCTACTAAAACAAATGCTTACTGGTTTAATTATTGTAATTAGTCTACATGGGATATCATATAACAACTTGACAATAAAAAGTAGATCAACTCTTACCGATCCCCTTTTGTTGGCAGTATAATTATTGCACGTGCCTTGTTGGCTGCTGCTCTTTCAAATGATTTTGTTAAACTAAGGCTGCAACTGTAAAGCCAAAAATTTCAAGTATGATGATAGACCTCAGAAGTTTTCTGAGAAGATAAGAAGCAGACCAAGAAAAAGCCTGAATTATTAGTGTTTGTGCAGTATTTGTGTCTTTAGGTAGCTACTTAGGTGGTTAGGGATCAGACTAATGAGTGTTTCTGTAGCATGTGTCTTTGGTCAGTTATGAATTTTTGTGGCAGTTATACATTTTGTGACAGACCTGTAGGAGGCAGTCATTATGTCAGTTTGTTGGTGGTGCTGTTTGGAAAGAGGAAACTCCTTGATAAGGGGAAACCCTGTGTAATTGATATTCTGTTCTACAAATCTGGTCTATAAACCATATTATTCTAGTAAAAGAATTAACTATTCCTGCATGTTCTTGAGTCTAACATATGAGACGCGAAAGAAAATAAGTTCTAAGCCAACTCAACATATACAACAGTTCATTACTTTTGCTTTTACCTGCTATAGAAATAAACACTCACAATTTTACATAGTTCTCTGGCCACATATGGACTAAGTTGAGAGCTTTTCTAAATGTTCAGTTTGAGAAGTGTCCTTTGAATTGTTTAATGCAGTTCTTATTAATTAACTTTGAAAGGCTTAGAAGGGCCAGAAAGGGAAAGTCAGTGTTTCTGTAGTTCTTTGGTGTAAATGATTGGAGCATAATGCTTGCATTTTTAGGGTGCTTCATTATCCTTAACGTTGTTATGAGAGCTTTATTGTGTTAATAGCTTCTTCTTTGTGCTCTGACTTTGGGAATCTCCCAATCAGATATCAGTGGAAATGCAGTGAAGAGCCTTATTGTGCTGATGACCTCGATTTCTCTAATTAAAAATTGAAGCTAAAGAACTAAATTGCACTCATAAGCAAACAAGAGGGACTTGAAGTGAAATTAAACACAAATAATAATATTAAGATAACACATAGCAGTAAATAGAGAAACAATAGATTAGACACACATACAGCAAGATGTTACCTAACTTAGCTATATATATTTACGTGCAATAAAGCTAGAAAATAAGCAATCCTTCATTTGTAATTTAATTGGTGAATGTGATCTCTTCACCCACTGTCCCACTTTATTTCATACTCCTTCTAATTCTTATTATAAGACACAATTTAGGAGGAAATGATGGTCTTTTTTATAAGGCACTTTACAATTTCTATGAAGCATTATTTTTTTTTCCATCTTTTGTCCCTATTAAAGAGTGTTAGAATGTGTCTCTTATTGTTGAATAATGAGAAGAGAATTTGATAAATAAATATTTTCTCTCACCTCTTAAACTCTTGTCATTTATCAATTTTATTAGTATTGGTGCATAAATTTTGATATGGTGTAATATATTCACCTCTCACATGCAAATTTAATAATAAGTAAGAAGGGTAAAATTGATGTATCATGATTTTATTTTATAAACACAATAAAATTAACTAACATAACTACTTATATTAGTTTGAATGATTCGGTTAAAAGTGTCTCATAATAAGGACTGGAGGGAGTATTCTCTAAAAGAACCTTTACCAAAATCAACCAAGTAGCATGGAAAAGTCTCTGACATAAGAAAAGAAACAAATTGTAATTGTACAAAAGGTGCTTCCATGATTAAAACAGAAAATTACCCAGCATTGATACCTCTTGGAAAGGACATCAATATGATTTAAATCTTTTGCAATATTGTCAGCTATTCTATCAATCTGTTTTCTTGGAAGATCAGACATAAGAAGGATTCTCTGCTTCCTGCATAGAAATGAAAAAGCATATTACAGAAGCCAGCAATCAGAACACAAGATAAGGGCAATGGGCAACTACCTTGTCCGAACCATTTACCTAGCTGTAGCTGTGCCTAAGCGGACAGCAAATTCATGATACTTATTTAACTGCTTTAATATGAAGGGAAGATGACTATTCATCCCACATATAATGATATGATCAGACTCCAGAACTTGCATTTGAGCCCCCTCCCTGAGCTTTTGCATATTACTCTGTAGTGAAGGCTGAACATTAATGGCATGCACAGAAACATTGCTTAATGAATGCCTAATGTTTCAGATTTTACCCTAAATTGTTCAGTCATCGTGCTTAGAAGTCGAGAGTAAAACAATATACCCCATATTGCAAGAAGAAAGCCAATAACACGTTCAACACGTGTTGATTGCTGTAGATGAACAAAAAGTGTGTTATTTGGTTATGCAGTAAATGCTTATAAACAATGTGAAACGGGTGAATAAAAAATCAGATTATGAAGTCCACAATAGGACCAACATACTTTTAAATGAGTAGATGATGAACAAAGACATGCCCAGGCTTCCCAAAGACAATCTTCCAGGGAATTTTTGTTACCCCTGGATAATACAATATTGGCCCAGATTAACAAACATATATAAGCACAACAGCAGTGAACTCAAATAGCAAAGAAGACTAGGAGAGCCATAAGAATGAACTCATAACACTATTTAAACAGTGATTTATCTATGATAATTATGATTACCTGAACTTGAAGAACAGAAGACCACCAATGACCACAAATGAGAAGCACATTATAAGGAGCACCACAAAGAACCTGAAAGAGTCCATATGATTGTTTCAGACAACAAGCATGTATATATCATTAGTTTTTTTAATACCAAGAAATAGTTAGTAACATAAACAAGACCCACTGGCTCCATTCACAGAAAACAGACACTCAAAAAACATATTTTTTACGAATTGTTCAGAGAAATTCTCATTTAGCCATCTTGGCCATAAATAAGCGAGCTCCCTAGTCCTTTAGAATAGCTGCAATAGAGTAATGCAAGTGTTTTAGAAGCATAGCACCCAAGGAAGCAATGCAAACATTCATATCCTAATCTAATTTTGAAGAGTGTATTGTTCCTTATCTCTATCTACAACAATATGTATGCACTAAATCCCCATGAAAGAGTCACATTTCCAGAGAATTTCCAGTTTTTCCCCTGAAAGTTCACAACAGTTTTTACAAAATCCGCTAGCAAAACTCATGTCTTATAATATAAACCAAACTATCTATTTCAAATACACCAAGATAACAAATAACGCAATAATAGATGACCATCAATCCCAAAAACTTCCATTCTTTCACAAAGAAAGTTGGTTTCTTTTTACAGTAAATTCATGAACATTATACACCAAAACTAATGATAAAATGGCAGCCTTTTTGAAGTTATCTCCATGATGAATAAACCCTTCTAGCTTGACAATACACTAAAAGTGCACACTAATGCAAATGATATCCAAGATGACATATATAGCCTATAATTTGCATTATAGCCATGTCAGAACATATTAATGCTGCTAAACTGATATAAATATAATGATCTGATACCAAGATAAACACAACAAAAGAATATAAATAATGCTACTCAAAAGGCAATAGTCAAGTGAGCTTAAATTTTATTAAATAACCAGTAGGTATAATAGTTCCCAGCCAGATAAAAGAAGCGATTAACTTACGTGGCAACATTTCTTTCAAGTTGGATGTTAAATAAGTATAACAACCGTGCTAAGCTCCATCTAATATCATGAAAAGAAGGCAAGGACACATCTAAATTAAGAGGCTTTGGTTTATTCAAGGCATTAGAAACACAAGCAAGAGGTAAGCTTGTTGCACTAAGAGTCTGAAACACATATGGAACCACTGCTTGGCCGACTTTTATCATCAAATCATACAACTTCTTATAGGTCAATCTCAGTATGATGTACATTGACATAATTTGTATCATGCTTCTAGCCTGTGGACCCTGCAGCACATATTGTGTTTTGAGAGATTTAGCTAGCACTAAGTACTGCAAAGTTTAGCAAGCCAAATCCTAATAATACATCAATTTATCCAACATATTTGAGCATGATACAACCATGAGATTGACATAGACAAATAATCTGAAGAAAACATAGCTGCAAGCCTGCAAGGACAAGTTTATGTCCAGTATCCACTGACAAGTATATTTATTCACTTTAATAGAATAGTTGAAAGAGTCAATTGATAATATAGAATAACTATCATAATATGTTTAAAGAGCATAATCAACTTATATATCAATAAAGTCACCTTCAAATGTGTACTTATGTCAGCTTTATAAACCTTCCATAAGTTCCAAATTGATGACCACATCAAACTGTTAGTCCATTATGATTTATGATTCAGAAAGTATTGTAATTCAAGTATGGCATAGAAGTTCCATTATCAAATTAATCATTAATGAAATACAAATTCCCATGCTTGCACAAAATCACGTTGACCTAGTGTTGCTAATATGTAGCTTTATAGCACAAAGGTATAAAGATGACATCTTTATGAAAGCTGATTCAAGTTTCAGAAATTGAAAGAGTATCATTATCAAAAAGAATAATTAAATTTTAATAAATTAAGAAATAGCTGTCAATCTTCCCACACAAGATTATCCTAGCATATCTTCCACTATTCTTGAGCCTCTAATTTAAAAGTACTTAGAAAAAGTGACATTCAACCAAATCTAAAATCTTATCATTTTGATACAACTTGAGACATCCAAGCCACCTTAATAAAGTCCTTGAGTTTTCAAACGTAGAATCTTATAATTTAGTATGACATGACAAATAGATGCCACTTTAATTTAGTCTTTGTGCTTTCACAATGTTTCATTTTTTATCTGTTATCAACATGATAGTATTCAAGGTGAGCAAAGTATACACCTGCCGCAACCACATGTTAAATAGATATAAAACCATTCATGTGTTTTCTCCCTATAACTTAAGCTTATAAAATAGTTAGTTCATGACAAAGAGCCTTAATGACTAATTGGTTTAGACTAGAGTTTGATCCTTATCACCCTCATCATTAACATAAATAAAGGTTGAATTAAGCACATGAAAAAAATGGGCTAGCACATTTTCTACACTTGAAGCCCAAAGGACTCTTGCATGAGGGGTGTGAAAGATATAAAACCAGTCATGTAGCTTAAGCTTTTGGGAGAGTTGGTTCAGGAAAAAAACCATGACAAGAATCAATTTAAAAGCTAAAACTTAGTGTGTTTGGAACCAAATCCGGAACGTAGATCATCACTCTCCACATCCAAAAGAAGCAACAAAGAGTAGCTTCACCATCAATTGATGTGATTTTTGCTTGGATGTGAATCCCAGGCGTGCATCCAAGCATGCCCTTTAACTACTTAAGTTGTAAGAAGGCCCAAGAGTGTTTTTATATATTTCTTGCAATTCCAATATTACAGTTTACCCTATATATATTTCATCAAATTTTGCATGCAAACCTTGGTTCTAACTCTTAAATAACATTTAATATTTTTCGGAGTGCCCATTATCTAAATACCTTATCACTAAAGCAATCTTCAAGCCATTATTTTTTATCACCACAAGTTCCCAGTCACCGCATGCAATAATAACTATTTTTGATCGCCTTATAATCCTCAGCATCAACATTTCTGATCACCTTACAAAAATACAAATTATAGTTGGCACTTTCCCTTCCCCGTTGGAAATACTGGGCTTATTATGTGATCGAATTGATAATTGCAACACCATTTCCAAAAATACTTGCAAAAAAGAAACAATGAATCATAAGTTTAACAAGCAATCCTATGAGGAGTTTCTTTTAGCAAATATCATTCATTTTACTTCATTATCAAGCACTATTGGCGGGAATAATGTAAAGGCCTTTTTGTGAATAAAATATAGTTGTTCTCATGCACAACATGCTACAAAATAAGGAATAAGGGGGAAATGCAGTAATTTTACACTTTAAAACTAAATAACATTCATCATCAAATACAACATTGAACTAAGTGTTTGAAAAAAAAAATTGCAAAAAATATAAATACAAGCATGAAGGGAAGGAACAATGTGCAACTAATGAAAATAAAATAACAAAATTACTAAAAAGTATACCATTTTCCAAGTTCTATCACACATTTCTCACCTGAGAACTATTATTATTTTTCTTCATCCAAACAAACTCGATGCCCAAATTTTCTGGGACACGATTGTTAGAGTTGGAATTTGACTTATCTTCTGACCTGTGAGAATCAACCTCCCATCTCCCTACAGGGATTTCATCAATTCACCTTTTAGTTTTAGGTAAGAACAGTCAAGAAAATTAATCCATAGAAATTATTTCAGATCAAACAAGAAAGAGAATATATCATGCAAAACAGTAAGATGGACAACAAAAAAGCAAATACTTAAGAGCTGAAACAACTGGGTTCTCCCAAAAGAAAGGGATTAAAGCATAATCAAAGTTGATTAGGATCAAAACCTCCTCGAAGACAATATAGAAGCTCATGGAAAGAAACATTCCAGATAAAACAATTTGAGCTCAAAAGAAGAGACAGCTATCAATCTATAAGCATCTTTCAATAGACAAATCCACTTAGGAAGGCACTATACACACACACCAAATTTAAATAAATAAAACCTAACATATGCTGGAAATGAAGTTTTATGATCTTGACAGTGTGAATCACTAATCTTTTCACACTTGCTTAAGTTTCTGGGTGTGTTATATGCATACACCATAAGCCCTACCCAAAAGCAAGTGGAAGTAATCTTCTTTCTTTTCTTATGAAGCTAGCATAGTCAACAACAAAAAGCTCAAAGAGGAGATTTCAAGATATGTAGTAGAAAGAACAACAAATGTGCCTCTCGTTGTAAACAGGCAAACAGCCACGACAAAAGCTTAAAGAACAACATAGTTGAGAAACTCAATTGAAATCTTTGAAAAAATACAAATAAGAAATGGAAGTACCAGATCTAACAAATGCAAACAATTTAAGACTTGTGAGCTGTGCCCTGTTTGGATCACTCATTAAATAATTTCCTAGACATGAGCATGGGAGAAGAGTACAACACATCAGAACTGGTCACAGAACAACTAATAAACTAATGAAACTATATACAGTGGCCTTCACCTAAATAATATAGAGGACGAATAAGAAAGCATGTAAACAGAAGAGTAAGAAAAGTACTAACTCAGCATCTTATGGCATTCAATTAGACTTGGCTCTATCCTAGGTAGCACAACATATTTCACATAGTGATAAGTAATGGTTGTATTAATTTCAAATGTTTGCAAACACTTGAAAAGAGAAAACCAAGAGAGAAAAAAAAGTATACATAGCAGCCAATTAGAGAGCTAAATGATGATCCCAAAAGCTGAACAGAGATAAAGAAAGCGAAAGTCAACACTGTAATCAAATTTGGAAATGGTTAGATCAGTGGCGTAAGAGTAGTAAACAACAAGCCAAGTCATTATAAGCTCCAAAATCAGAGATAAACTCCAAGAGTACAATAAGCTTGAGACAGAGATTAAGAATGGATTTGGCCATTTTAGCTATACAGAATTGAATAAAAAAATTTGGTTGAGTGAAATTTTGATTTTGATTTGATAATGATGCCACAAATGGCATTCTAAGTAGGTACATAAATCTCTATTCAGTTTGACGATAAACAAGTCAAGAACATCTTACCCGACAAAAACTTAACAGTTAACATTGACTAGTTTAAGATCTTGCACCCTCAACTAAAGCAGCATTATTTCAGTTGATAAAAACTGAACAGATAAAGTCCACGATTGTTTTCTCTTGACTCGTGGGGCTCACCTTCACCATGCCCTCTAAGACCACGCACATGTAAGGCTGAAGATTTGATGAAGCTGAAGTGGCAGGGCATATACCTCCTGTGAAGTCTCCTGAGCAATAATAGAACAGAGAATTCTTCATACAACAAACTCATCTAAAACCTATTTAACCAATTCAAAGGTTATCTACGTTGAGGATATTCAAATCCATTGAAGACAACATGAAACTATCAAAAGTAACATAAATGGTTCCCAAATTCTATATTTGCATGTGCGTGCGTGTGTGGAGAGATAGAGTAAGAGCATAAGAGAGTACCTGGAATTGTTGGAGATTGATGAGATGTGAGTGTGTGTTGGATGTAGAATCCATGGCTGACAGCTCTGCATGTGAAGGAGAAGCATAGTTCCTTGTTGGAGTGAGAGAGATAAGAATGGCCTGAAAAACCAAAAATCAAAGGAAGAAAGTGATGGGAAGAGAGAGAATGAAAAATGTAACAACTAACGTGGCAAAATAATAATGAAAAATGAGAGAAGACAGAGTGGAGGAAGACAATAATTATTAATTAGTAATTAGTAATTAGTAATTACGGAGAAGAAAAGAGGGTTTATTAATGTTTGTTGAGGAGCGTCATATAACGTACTAGTACTACAACTAAAGCACCATTGAATAATCGAATCCAAAAACATGACGTCGTCGCAAAAAAACAAAAAGCTGTAACCGGGAACGTCAACAATCCCTTTCGCGTTTCGGACATACTTTTGCTTAACAATAACAACGGAGCTGTATGCTATTGCTGATTACTTGGTGGCCCATAGTTCTGTGACAATTCAATCTCCATTTCTGACTGCAATAACAGTTTACAATTCAACGTTCAACATTCGTGGACAAAAATATTTCTGTAGAATCAAAATTACTAAAAACACATAGTAAATATATATAATTTTTTAAAATTTTCATTATAATCTTCTATCTCTTAAATTTAAACTAATTTTTAAATAATAAATTTTTTTATTTTGAGACACAATTTTAAATTATTTTTTTACTATATATCATTATATTCATTTGTTAAATGCAATAAAATATAAATAAAAAGTATTACAAATATAGTAAAATTTGTATAATAATAATTTCAAAAGATGATTAAAATTTTAAAAATTATAATTTCATATAATTTTTTAATTATTTGTTTGACATATTTTTCACACCATTCTCAAGCATCAATTTGAATTTTATAATTTTTGCTCAGATTGTTACAAGTTTTACATCTCAAATTAATCAAAAGTTGATTCAAAATTGAGTTATAAAATTAAAAATTATTATTATTTTAAAATAATTGAATTAATTTAAATATAAAAAATAAAAGATTAAACAAAACATTTTATATATAAAAGATTAAAATAAATCTAATAAGTAAGATAAATGACTAAAAATATAATTTAACCCTATAATTTTTTTGTCAAGTTATTCTAAAAAATAATATTTATAAAAGATTTTTCTTGTAAAAAAAATATTAAAAATCAAGATAAATAGTATAAACAATGTGTTTGAATAATTTTTTTGTATAATTACTCATAGAAGAAAAAATAAAAGAAAAAAAAACTAATTTATGAAAATGTTATATTTAAATTGTTTTTAAAGTATCTATGAATAGTTTAAATATTGAAACGGACTAATAATATGATTAATTAAAAGAAGAATAAATAAAATAAAATTATTTTTTTAATATTTTATAAAAATAAAAATAAAATTTATAAAAATATCACAATAAAAATTAAACTTAAACTCCCGTATTTTTAACTATCCTAACACATTTCTACCTCACATTATACTAGTCCTAACAATTAAAAGTATGTTTGGTATATGGTTAAATTTGGTTAAACATAATAAACACACATTTCAAAGCACTAAATTGAGAAGTAACATTTTTTATTTTTTTGTTAAACATGATTTTGTGAATTTCTACGGTAAATTAGACCCACACTAACAAGTGGATAGGACTTAGGTGAATCCGAACGTGCATTGGGCATTGGAATTGGATCCCGTGCAGTTTTAAATAAAAATAAAAATAATAAAAATAAAAATATTTTTATTTTTGAAAGGATAAGATTTGTGATGCATAAAATGTGAATCGCTGGGCTGGGCCATTAGCTCATGACATTCGTTACACCTAAGAGTTCGTGCGTCGGTCACACTCTCAGTCAGCTGGTCCCTATTTTGGTGCTGCTTATGCCACTTCCAAGTGCGCATGCCAAAGTGAAAACCCACTGCACACAAGTTTTCTTTGCTTTTATGGGATTAACCAAATTAAATATTACTATGTCATTATTATTGTTGAATATTTAATTTATATATTTTATTTTATTTATTTGATGAATTGTTTTTGTTATTGGTTTAAGTAACATTACAAAATAATTTCTGAGAATAATAAGAAATTGTATTTAGCCAAATGACAGGGACATATTAATCAATAGGTGTGATGGATATTGATGAAGTAGCGTGACACGCCAACGTCATAAATGGTACTATTTTTTGAAGAAACTATTGAAAAGTGATAGTATTTTTGTAAGTGAGGGTGACCCACTTTGTGAGTGCGGGTTACCCACTAGTCACTTAATCTCAACGTGAAATACATGGAATATATCAGAGTCAAGCCTTTAATCAATAATCAATAATCAATTTTGTTGTATACTGTGTTCTAGGCCTGCTCAATATTTATGTGTCATTAATAGTTAATAGAATAAAAAGAAAAGAGAAAAGATGGAAGGAGAAGAAAAATAAAATAATAGTTAAGATTATTTCTTAATAAATGAAAGAAAAATGATCTTTTTTAGAAGGTATTTAATCTAAAATAATAAATATTTTTATTTGTTATAATAATATTTTATTTTTATTTTTATATTATTTAATTTATAAATAAAAATATCATAACCATTACATAATTAATAATTCATGTTGTACAATAAATTTCAACTATTTAATTATTAAACTAAAAATTCATAATATACTGATCAAGTTTATAAATTTTAAAAAAAAATTAAAAGTCATTTTATTAAATTAATAAAATAAAATATTAAATATTTTTTAAAATTTTTAAAATTTATAAACTTAATTTTTATATTATAAATTTTTAATTTAATAATTTCATCGTTAAAATTATCATATAACATGAATTATTAATAGAATAAATTTATCAAAAATTATCTCAAAAATAATTTGATGCTCCTCTCTCTGTATATATATATAAGTGTGAATGAATTTAGAATGACAAGTACTTTAATCATCTGATTTATGAATTTGTTATTATTGGTACAAAATATTTTTATTGTTGGCCCCACCAATATTTGTGCTCTTTCATATTGTCTCTGTGATACTAAACACATGTAAACAATGTTCATTTGCACTCTTCAAAGCTCTTTTCTCTCTCCATGTAAATTTCATGCTAAAATATGTGATGTAACGATACGTGGAGTAATGTGATAAGTAAAATGATTTATGTTTTTACCCAAGCTTATCTTCTTAAATATGATTAAATAAACTTTAAATTATATGCTCATACAGGTGAGACTGTTAGATGATTTAAAGTCATTTTAAAATATCTATGATGTCCAAGTTTCATAGTCCTTCAATATGTTACTAAGCGAATATTTAGTAGAATTGGTTTACAAGCTTATTAAAATTTTGAAAGTTATATAAGTATTAGGAGCTGAAGAACTGGAAACTTATAAACTAATTAATTAATTATTTTAGTAGGACTAAAAAGGATAAAAATAAATTTCAAAAAAAATTAATAATAATAATAAATAAATAAATAAATGTAAAGCTTATAAACTAAAACTTATTTCATTTAACTTATAAAAATAAGTTATACATTTTTAAAATAAACTTGTGTACCAAATAATATTTTAACCAAAAAAATTATAAGTAAGTTAGTCAAAAGAATTTATAAACTTCTATAATGTGTCTCTTCAAAAATTTCTAATGGAATACAAGTTGTTAATATACTAAATTTAAGATTGAGTTAATCAAATAGTATTTTCGATTTTAAACTCTAAAATAAAATTAGTTTAAGACGGAGTTTTAACTGATAAAAAAAATAATAAGTTAAATTTTAAACCTCTAACTTGTGTACTTAATAAAATCAGTGATTTTATAGTTTTGATTAAAAATTTATGTACACACTAAAAACATTTTTATCTTTTTCATAAGTGAACCATATGCGTTGATTCTTCACCAATATAATTATAGCATAAACTTTTTTAAAATTTTTATTTTACTAAGACCCTAAAAACACTTGTTAACAAAAATCTAAAATTAAAATAGACCTTCACCAACATATGAAGGCATTGATAATCAGGTGTGGCATTTAATATATGCATAGTACTATCAAAATCAAAATTAAGTTTGCAGGTTTTCTTCCCCCAGGTACGATACCTACCAAAAGAAAACGAAATTTTGTGTTTGCATTACCAGCTGTGAGCCTGTGACCACAGAGATCAGTGTCCTGAGTTCAATTATTGAATTGGTCACCGACAGAAGTTACAGAATAGTCACGGATCTAAATTTAGGTTAAAGTATGAGACAAAAGTTTTTGTTCTTCTTTTGCTATGAAAAGATCCCCGAGGACAAAACAGTTGATGTTTTGTTTCATAGAGTAATTTGCAGCATTTATTAGATCTTGTAATTTTGAAACTAGCTGAATGACCAAACATATAGGTAACCTGTAAACATGATATTTCTAAACTGTTGGGTTGGGACTCGGGGGAAATTGAAAAGAAGATGAGATAAAAATAAATAAATAAAATTAATGAAATTATTATAATGATGGCATTAAATATTTAAATATAGAATTTTATGTATATTATTTTAATTTTCCATCTTAGATGTCTCAGTGTTTTAAATAAAATAAAGTTTCATATGAAAGAATAATAATAGAAAATATTTCATATTATGATAGATTAATATATTAGAAATTATGTGGAGTATTTGTAATGACTTATCATGGTCGTTTTACTTTGTGAAATTTACAAACGGTAACAAAACTACTAAGATATTTAAGATTATACATTTATCACCTATCAAAATGACTATATATATATATATATATATATAACATGTATATGGGAAAAAAAATAACTATACAAGTATAAAACAATGTAAACATATATACAATCATCTTAAAAAAAAGTACTACATGAGTTAAGTGTGTCGGTTAAACATTACTATACAACTATCAACATAATAGTACAAAAAACTTTCAAAAGCATCGCCATCCACCTGATAGCCTTCTCTGCTCACCTTTGCATCCCTGTTGTGAATGCTTTAGGCATGTTGTGTTGATATACTATTGAGGTATGATGTTAAGAATGTTTTAGGCATTTAGGTATGTTGATTGGCAAAGGACTAGAGAGAATGCTATTTTTAAAAGTTAGATATCCTATTGTATGGATATTGATGTGGTGCTACACGAGTCTAGTTGTCGAAAACCTTTCTAGAATAGGTATTAACTCTTGAAATGGAT